TGCCTTTTCTAAACCCTGCTTGTACATCTGGAAGTTCTAGATTCACATAATGCTAAAGCCTAGCATGAAGGATTTTGAGTATAACCTTGCTAGCATGTGAAATGAGCACAACTGTATGGTAGTTTGAATATCAGTATTGCATGCACTTCTTTGGAACTAGACTGAAAGCTGACCTTTTCCAGTCCTGTGGACACTGCTGAGTTTTCCAAATTTGCTGACATACTGAGTGTAGCACTTTAATAGTATCATCTTTAGGATTTTAAACAGCTCAACTGGAATTCCATCACGGCCACTAGTTTTGTTCACAGTAATGCTTCCTAAGGCCCACTTGACTTTACACTCCAGGATGTCTGGCTTTAGGTGAGTGACCACACCATTCTGTTTATCTGTGTCATTAAGACCATTTTTGTATAGTTCTTCTTCTGTGTATTCTTTCACCTCGTCTAAATCTCTTCTGCTTTTGTTAGGTCCATACCACTTCTGTCCTTTATTGTGCTCATATTTGCATGAAATGTTCCCTTGATTCTCCAATTTTCTTGAAGAGATCTCTAGTCTTTCCAATTCTACTGTTTTCCTCTATATGCATGGATGACTGAAGAAGGCCTTCTTATCTCTCCTTGCTACATTCTGCATTCAATCGGGTATATCTTTCTCCTTCTCCCTTGTCTTTTGCTTCTCTTCTTTCCTCAGCTATTTGTAAGGCCTCCTCAGCCAGCCACTTGCCTTCTTGAATTTCTTTTTCTTTGGGATGATTTTGGTCATTGCTTCCTGTTCAATGTTACAAACCTTTGTCCATAGTTCTTCAAGCACTCTGCCCACCAGATCCAATCCCTTAAATCTATTCATCATCTCCACTGTATGATTGCAAGGGATTTGATTTAGGTCATACCTGAATGGTCCAGTGGTTTTCCCTATTTTCTTCAATTTAAGTCTGAATTTGGCAGTAAGTAGTTCATGATCTGAGCCAAGGTCACTTCTTGGTCTTGTTTCTGCTGACTGTATAGAGCTTCTCCATCTTTGGCTGCAAAGAATATAATCAGCTGATTTCAGTATTGACCATCTGGGGATGTCCATGTGTGGAGTTGTCTAATTGTGTTGTTGGAAGAGGGTACTTTCTATGACCAGTGTGTTCTGTTGGTAAAACTTTGTTAGACTTTGACCTGCTTCATTCTGTACTCTGAGGCCAAACTTGGCTATTACTCCAGATATCTCTTGACTTCCTACTTTTGCATTCCAGTCCCCTAGGATGAAAAAGACAACTTTTTTTTTTTTTTGGTTTTAGTTCTAGAAGGTCTTATAGGTCATCGTAGAACCATTTAGCTTCTTCAGCATTAGTGGTTGGGCCATAATCTTGGAATACTGTGATATTGAATGGTTTGCCTTGGAAACGAACAGAAACCATTCTGTTGTTTTTGAGACTGCACCCAATTACTGCATTTTGGACTTTTTTGTTGACTAGGTGGGCTACTTCATTTCTTCTAAGGGATTCCTGCCCACAGTAGTAGATATAATGGTCATCTGAATTAAATTCACCCATTTCGGTCCATTTTAGTTCACTGATTCCTAAAATGTCAGTGCTCACTCTTACCATCTCCTATTTGACCACTTCCAATTTACCTTACATTCCATGGATCTACAGATCTAGCATTCAAGGTTCCTATGCTATATTATTCTTTACAGCATCGGACTTTACTTCCATCACCAGTCACATCCACAACTAGATGTTGCTTTTGCTTTGGCTCTGTCTTTTCATTCTTTCTGGTGCTATTTCTCCACTCTTCTCCAGTAGCATATTGTGCAACAGGGGAGTTCATCTTTCAGTGTCATATCTTTTTGCCTTTTCATACTGTTCATGGGGTTCTCAAGGCAAGAATGGTATGGACCTAACAGAAGAAAGAGTATGGACCTAACAGAAGCAGAATATATTAAGAAGAGGTGGTAAGAATACACAGAACAACTATACAAAAAAGATCTTAATGACCCAGATAACCACGATGGTGTGATCACTCACCTAGAGCCAGACATCCTGGAGTCCAAAGTCAAGTGGGCCTTAGGAAGCATCATTACAAACAAAGCTAGTGGAGGTAATGAAAGTCCAGCTGAGCTATTTAAAAGCCTAAAAGATGATGCTGTGAAAGTGCTACACTCTATATGTCAGCAAATTTGGAAAACTCAGCAGTGTCCACGGGATTGGAAAAGGTCAATTTTCATTCCAATCCCAAAGAAAGGCAATGCCAAAGAATGTTCTAACTATCTCACATTTGTACTCATCTCACATGCTAGCAAAGTAGTGCTCAAAATTCTCCAAGCTAGGCTTGGTTCAATAGTACATGAACCAAGAATGTCCAGATATTCAAACTGGATTTAGGAGGCAGATGAACCAGAGGTCAAAATGACAATATCTGTTGGATCATAGAAACAGCAAAAGAATTCCAGAAAAACATCTACTTCTGCTTTATTGACTATGCCAAAGGCTTTGACTGTGTGGATCACAACAAAGGAAAACTTCTTAAAGAGATGGGAATACCAGACTACCTAACCTGCCTCCTGAGAAACCTGTATGCAGGTCAAGAAGCAACAGGTAGAACCAGACATGGAACAATGGACAGATTTCAAATTGGGAAAGGAGTTCAACAAGGTTGTATGTTGTCACCCTGGTTATTTAACTTCTATGCAGAGTACATCATGTGAAATGCCAGGCTGGATGAAGCACAAGCTGGAATCAAGATTGCCAAGAGAAATATCAATAACCTCAGACAAGCAGATGACACCACCATTATGGCAGAAAGTGAAGAATTAAAGAGCCTCTTGATGAAAGTTAAAGAGGAGAGTGAAAAAGTTGGCTTAAAGCTCAACATTCAGAAAGTTAAGATCATGGCATCTGGTCCCATCACTTCATGGCAAATAGATGGGGAAATGACAGACTATATTTTGGGGGGCTCCAAAATCACTGCAGATGGTGACTGCAACCATGAAATTAAAAGAAGCTTGCTCCTTGGAAGAAAAGTTATCACCAACCTAGACAGCATATTATAAAGCAGAGACATTACTTTGCCAACAAAGGTCTGTCTAGTCAAAGCTATGGTTTTTCCAGTAGTCATGTATGGATGTGAGAGTTGGACCATAAAGAAAGCTGAGTGCCGAATAATTGATGCTTTTGAACTGTGGTGTTGGAGAAAACACTTGAAAGTCCCTTGGACTGCAAGGAGATCCAACCAGTCCATCCTAAAGGAGATCAGTCCTGAATATTCATTGGAAGGACTGATGCTGAAGCTGAAACTCTAATACTTTGGCCGCCTGCTGCAAAGTACTAACTCCTTAAAAAGACCCTGATGCTGGAAAAGATTGAAGGCAGGAGGAGAAGGGGATGACAGAGGATGAGGTGGTTGGATGGCATCACGACTCAATGGACATGAGTTTGAGAAAGCTCCGGGAGTCGGTGATGGACAGGGAAGCCTGGCGTGCTGCAGTCCATGTGGTCACAAATAGTCAGACACAATTGAGAAACTCAACTGAACTGAATTGTGTCTCTGTCTCCACAGAGAAGAAAGGTTATTTGAGGACATTGTGAGAAGGCAGTTTTCTGCAGTCCAGAAAGAGAGCTCTCACCAGGAACCAATTAGCCAACACCTTGATCTCGAACTTGCAGCCCCCAGAACCGTGAGAAATAAATTACTGATGTTATAAATTACTGATGTTAAGCCACCCAGTCTATGGTGTTTTGTAATGGCAGAGCTATTACATGATGCCCCAGAGGCCCTGCACCAGGCACCCTCAATACCCTGTAGCTCCAGAATTCCATGCAGTTCGGCTCTTCCCTGAAGCTGAACCCAAGTTCAGAGCCTGGAGAACTGACCTGTGAGTTGGAGGAAGATCTTGCAAATATCACAGTCATCCTACCATATTGCAAAATTCCTTCTGCAGGGTGAACCTAGACCCTTCGTCCCATATATGTATTGACAAGCTCACCTGAATTGCCCAATCCCCAAATTTTGGAGGACAAAAGTCATTGTTGTTGATGTCAATGGATCCAGTCCATCACAAACTCAATGCTGTTTCCTTTCCCTCTATTGCTACTTCACACAGCATAATGCAGAGCATATGAGTGGTATCATATATCATCTCACACCAAGTGGTTTAATCAAGAATGCCTTCGAAACATGTATATTATCTAGGGTGAAACAGATCAGCAGCCCAGGTTGGATGCATGAGACAAGTGCTCGGGCCTGGTGCACTGGGAAGACCCAGAGGGATCGGGTAGAGAGGGAGGTGGGAGGGGGGATCGGGATGGGGAATACATGTAAATCCATGGCTGATTCATGTCAATGTATGACAAAAACCACTACAATATTGTAAAGTAATTATCCTCCAACTAATAAAAATAAATGGAAAAAAAAAAGAATGCCTTTATTCTTACACTAGGTAATAAAGATGAAATTTCACATTGGATATCCCTTTTCCAGATCCCCCCACCCCTTGAACAAATGCTTCCATGTTGTCTTAAGGATATCATTTCAACTCATTTCCAAATGAGGTTTTACTTACAATGTCAAGAAAAATTTCTTTTTGCTACCATGCCAAGAAAATTTTTAGGTAATGTCAAGTTTCCTTTTTATGCAGTTTTTAAATCATTGAAAGAATTTTCAAGAAAGTTTCAATTCCTTTTTTTGAAACTACTAGAATGAAGTCCTTCACAAATCATCTGTTCCAAGCCCTCACCAGCAGAAAACACTCCACAGGTTGAGGGGTCCAAACTCTGAGGTCGTGGTGCAGGCTTCATCACTTCTGAGCTGTGTGGGAGTGTCTCAGGAAAGGTCACCTGCATTCCATGAGTTTTTAAGACTGAGGCAGCAGCACTGAGGCTCTTCCTGACTCTGTAGGGAAACTGGAACACACCAGCTTCACACGATTCCTTGGTCTCGAACCGGTTGGCACTTTGCCCCCACAGCTGCCATACCAGAATTGTCAGAAAGCCTGTTCCTCCTGGTTATAGGACCATTTCAGGACATAATCCTGGCACTCTCCTTTCACTGGAGCCAGGGAACAAGGATCTACAAGAACGTGAATGCAGAAAAGAGAGACCTGCATGAGCGAGACAGCTTAAAAATGAATCCTAACCTCACTAACAACTGGCTGTGTGACCTTGAGGGTAACTACCCTCTATGAGCCTCAATTTCCTCAACCATAAAAGCAATATTAGAAAAAAACCCTGCATTACACGTTCATCATAAGGTGTCACATAACGTATGTGAAAAGGGCAATACAATTAGAGCTATTATTTGGCACAGTATATAGTATATGGCAGATATACCAGACAATGTATAAATGAGTGAATGAATGAATCAATAAAGCTTTTCTCAGTTAAATGCTAGCAAACCAAACTCAACAGCACATTAAAAGGATCGTATACCATGATCAGGTGGGATTTACCTCTGGGATGCAAGGACAGTTCAACATATACAAATCAATAAACATGTTCACCACATTAGAAGCATGAAGTGTAAAAATCATATGATTATCTCAACAGATGAAAAAGAAAGCACTTGACAAAATTCAAGAGAACTCCTCACTTGCTTATCATGCTTATTTTCCTCTTTTTTTTTTTTCCAAACCATCTCTCAATCCCTTGCCTAATCCCCAAATGTTCCAGGCCTCTAAAGGCCTGGGCAAATCAAGCTAATTTATTATTTACTGCAGCCTGACACTTGCCCAAGAAGTTATCTAATAAAAGAAAATGTTCCTGGAAAATAGCATTGAAAATCCACCAGTTGCAAGAGCAAGATCTGGAATGCCTATTTTAAATTTTAAACCAGACATGAATTTTCCCAGGTCTGTAACCTCTATCTTCTATGGAGAACAGATTTCCTTGGACACACTCTATAAGGGAGGAAAATATTCTTGTCTTATAAGCACAGAATGATGGTGTCTTCCAAATAATTTCCCCTCGGCCTTCCAAGTACTCCCAAATAAAGAGGATGTTGTCTTCAGAAACAAATTCATGGCCTGTTCCCGGGAAGTTGCCTACTCACCTCCCACTAGTATAATCAGCACAGGTCAGTTTTCCTGAGTGACCAGATGTGCTGGATCCCAGTGAATGAGATATATTCATGGGAATTGTCTTCTACCTTAAATAAGCACATCAGAACTAGCCTGTCCCATGACTCCATGGAGGGTGTAACACAGCAAGTAGCAAGCACCCAGGATAAACCAGAGAAAATGCTTCTCCAAAAACAGGGGAGGTGGGGGCGATAAACAGAAAAACAATCCAGTGGTGACCTTTGTGCTCTGTAGGATCAACAAAAGGACTTGGGGCTCAACAATCAGCTGGGCCCAACCTCTATCATTACAAACTGATTCCAAACAGACAAGCCAAGCACTAGTGTAACAAATGATACACTTTTCCCAGTGACCCTTCTGTGGTTTTCGTCTTTAGAAGCCCCACCCTTGTCTTTAGCCTGAGGCAATCAAACATGGTTGCTTCTTCTATATTATACTTCTTAGGGTCGCACTGTCCAGCAGATCTTGCTGCCATGAGGGAAATATTCTGTATCTGCCCCATATCCAATACAGGAGCTACTGCCCATGTGGCTGCTGGGCATTAGAAATGTGGCTATTGTAACCAAGGAACTACATTTTTCCTTTGATTCAATTGCAAATTATTGAAATGAAAATGGAAATAGACAGTGTGGTGCAGCTCTAGGTAAGTAAACTCTTACTGCTTTGAACTAATTATCTCTAAGGTGTTCTTTGTAACCTAACACTCAAGAAGCCTCAGACTCTTCAATTTTTTTTTTTTAATCAGTATTATATAGTATCAGGGGCCATTTCACCCACATAATTATTGATAGCTTCCAATTTTATATTTGGTGATATTTTCACCATAAGTATTATCTTTTGCCACTTCAGAAGAACCCTGCAGCAGGTGTCAGTTTTACTGAAACAAGTCCATGGAATTCAGGAAGAAAGGAAAGAAAATGGGAGGAGAGGGAGATGAGGGAAGTTACAGACAGCAGTGGCAGGGAAACTGCAATTTTGCCAAGGTCAGTTTTGTCTCTTAATGTGCGTCTTATAACATAGTCCTACTGGGAGGATAAAGCCACAGAATAGATCTGTGCACTCTGGAGATAGCACTGAAATGGAAACTATACCAAGATCAGCCTGATTGCTGGGAAGAGAAAGGATGTCCATTTAATTCTTCACAATAGATACAGCAAAAGGGACCAGAGCTCTGGCAGAATTTGGCCTGAAGTGCAGGAGGTCCCTGGGAACTTAACATTGCTCAGGACTGAAGAGGTCTCTAAGTTCAAATAATACAGGCCTGAGCAGTAAAAGACAAGCAGATTGGTCCAGATGGACACTGTGGAGAGGACGCGGGGACAGGCAGGTGATGGGAGAGATGGAATGAGGACACGGGGTAAAGACGAAGATAAAAGGGTAACTTCAGTGGCACAAAATGTGTGTATTCAGGGCAGTGGTGGCCAGTGCAGCCCCTGGGACCAGGTAGAAGCCTGTGTGCCTTATCCAGGCACCCGGACATGCTCCATAACAATGGGGACCACAGAAGAAGAGAAATCACATAGCTAGATCTGCATCTTGGAAAAAATGAGTTGGTCTTCAGAATGGAATTGGGGAAAGAACAAATGGGAAGACAGGAGACCAGTTAGAGTACACTGCAATTACACTTGAGGTGGACAGCAGGAGATATCTTGGGGAGATGTGGAACGGGGGCAGGTCCGAAGGATGCGGAGGAGGGAGCCATGCCAAGATCTGGTTCCCAACTGAGGATTCAACTATGAGTGGAGAATGACTGGCGGTATGTGGGCTTGGTTTTCATCCCTGGGCCAGCATGGCTCCTTCTAGTACAGGAGTAAAGGGAGAGAATGTTCCGAGGGCCGGCAAGGCCAGTCTGTTTAAACGGGTTTGTGTGAGAGTGCCCGTCAGCATTCCCAGTGATACAGTCTGGAGGGCGGTTGACCATACTGGTCTGCAGCTTAGGACAGAGTTAAAGCTGGAAGACATGGATTTGGAATCATTTATCCAGAGGGGATAGTTGAAGTCATGGTAGTAAAGCTTGCATGGTAGTATGTGTAGACAGCTTCGAGGTCTGAAGACAAGACTTGGGGAAGGCATTGTGGATTTACCATGAAATTAATGAAGCCTAAGCTTCAAGGTCCTTATGCACAAAGGACCCTTATGTGCATATTCCTCTTCAAAATAAGTATTTATTTTTGCCCTTAAATAATTTTGTATCTTTTTCTTACAGAGGGTCCCCTAAGTTCTATGAACTTCAGACTCCATGAAACCTGGATGCCCCATGAGAATGAACCTAGACAGAGAAGCCCACAAATATGGGCTGGTCAGAAGTGGAAGAAGAGATAGTGATATTGTCTCTGAAATGCAAATCAAAACTACAGATACCTAACACACTGGTCAAAATGGCCATCATTAAAAAGTCTACCAGAGATTGAACAAGATGGTGGAGGAGTAGGTGGACATGGAGTACGTCTCTCTCCACAAATACATCAGAAATACACCTTCAGACACAGAAGTGCTGGCAGAACACCAGATGAGAATGGACAAGAATACCTGAACACAAGAAAAGAATATATAGAACCACGCAAAGCTCGAGATCAAGCCCTGAGCCTTTGGAGTGGGAGTACTGACTCCAAGACCCTAGACTACCAGAGAACTCCTAACCCTAGGGAATATCAAATAGTGAGAATTCCTACAAAGGAAACAACTTCAATATAAGACCTGGCATCACCCAACCACCAGTAGCACCCCATGCAGGATGCTTCATCCAAACAACAAACAAGACAAAAATACAAACCCAATCATCAGCAGGCAGGATCACCACCTCCCTCAGCCCTGCCCATGAAAGGGAAAAAAAAAAAAAAAAACTCAGCACAAATCTCACCCTTTATAAAGCTTATGCGAACCACTGGACCAACCTTAGGAGGGCAGAGACCAAAAGGAAGAAAGAATTCAACCTTGAAGCCAAGGAAAAAGAGACTTCAAACACATTAAGTCTAAAAAATAATAGTGAAAAGGCAGAGAAATACTTCACAAATGAAGGAACAAACTAAAAACATAAAAGTCCAAATAAATGGAGAGGAAATAGGCAAACTACCCGAAAAAGAATTGAGGATAATGACAGTAAAGATGATCAAAAACCTTGAAAACAGAACGGAGAAAAGGCAAGAGTCAATTAACAAAGACCTAGAAAAATTAAAGAATAAACACACAGAGACAAACAACACAACTACTGAAATTAAAAATACTCTAGAAGGAATCAATAGTGGAATATCTGGAGCAGAATGGATCGGTGAGCTGCAAGATAAAATGGTGCAGATAGCTGCTGAACAACAGAATAAAGTAAAATGAGAGAAAAGAACTGAGGATAGTCTCAGAGATTTCTGGGACAATATTAAATGCAACAATATTTGAATTATAGGGGTCCAAGAAGAAGAGAAAAAGAAAGGATATGAGAAAAATTTTGAAGAGATTATAGTTGAAAATTTCCCCAACATGGAAAAGGAAATAGTCAATCAAGTCCAAGAGGGGCGAAGACTCCCATACAGGGTAAACCCAAAGAGAAACATGCCAAGACACATTCTAGTCAAACTAACAAAGATTAAACACAAAGAATCTTAAAAGCAGCAAGGGAAAAGCAATAAATAACATACAAGGGAAACGCCATACATTTAACAGTTGATCTTTCAGCAGAAACTCTGCAGGCCAGAAGGGAATGGAAGGATATATTTAAAGTACTGAAAGGGAAAAATCTACAACCAAGATTACTCTACCCCGCAAGGATCTCAAACAAAACTGATGGAGAAATCAAAAGCTTTCAGATAAGCAAAAGTTAAGAGAATTCAGTACCACCAAACCAGCTTTATAACAAATGTTAAAGGGACTTACATAGTCAGGAAATATAACAGAAGAAAAAGATCTACAAAAATAAACCGCAAATAATTAAGAAAATGGCAATAGGAACATATATTTCAATAATTATTTTAAATGTAAATGGATTAAATGCTCCAACCAGAAG